GGAGGGAAGGCCTGTGTAGAGATGGGGGCGTGTGCACACAGAAGTTGAAGGGAAGGCCAGTGTAGAGATGGGGGACGGCAGTAAGTGTGGCGATGGGGAACCACAGAAGGATGACAGACACAGCCCACAGGTCCAACGTGGGGAGCCAGGGGCTCCACGTGCCTCCACCAACCAGAGCCTCTTCGAGGCCCGCCCCCTGCTCTCAGGGCCTCGTGGCTGTGGGTTTGTCCTGTGAGCCACTGACCATAGGCAGCCACCCGTCCCTTTCTCCTCCCCAGCCTGCAGTGCACCGTCTGCCCATTTTCCCTGGAGGCACCTGTCAGATCGGATGATAATAAATAACGAGCATCAGCTCTTAAATTTGTTTGGGAGGCCACACTTTCAGAGGCAGATGGCAGATTGCAATGGATCGAGGAGCCTTAAGTAGTGAGAATGGAGTGACAGCAAGTTTTCTTGATGGTCAACTGAGAAGAAAATGAGAGAGGGACGGGCAGCCGCCGGAGGGGAACGTAGGGCCATGGGAGAACTATTTTAGGATGGGGCAAAGCTTAGGAAGGCCCACAGGCTGGCAGAGCTGGCACAGGGAGTGAGGGTGGATGTGAGGTACAAAGGTCCCCAGGTGGTGGGTGGCAGTGAGCTCCAGCTCACAGAAGGAGAGGCACCTTCTTAGAGACAAGGAAAGGGGGAGGTGAGTTTGCAGGTAGGGGCCAGGAAGTTGAAGTTGTTCCTATCTGAGGCCCTGATTTTCTCAAGGAGGCAGGAGGTGAGCTGGTCTTCTGGGTAGGAGGGGCTGGGAGTTGAGAGGGCTGAGGGTTTGGAGTCAGTTGAGGAGTTGAGGAGTTGAGAGGTGGAGCTGGTGAGGGACAGATCCAAGAGTATCAAGTGGTTTGGGTCTCCAGTGGTTGGGGTCACAGATGGGGTTCTCCAAGATGGCGTAGTTAGGGACAGTGTGTTGAGTGGCAGGGGTGATCGGCTGCGTGGTCCAGCCAGATAGGGAAGTTAAGTCAACGAAGGAGGAAATATTGGGAGAAACCAGAAGGATCGAGGCCATGGAGGGCTCTCTAAGGCTGAAGAAGCAGTGAACGGACAGTGAGGGCCTGAGCACCCTGGAAGAACAAGAGGTGGTCACAGAGAGGTGATATTTGTAGCATGAGGAAATGGTGGGTAATGGCAAGGCCCGGTAAGGTCATAAGCAAGCCCACCTCGAGGGGAAGAAGATAAAGCACCAGTAGAGCTGAGAAGATCAGGGACAGAATGGCAGCGGGTGGGGGTAGAGAACTGAGTCAGGTGCCAAAGTCTTCTGTGAACGTGGAAGTGTGGCAGGAGAGCAAAGGATGACAGCATCGTGGAGGGCAGAGGGGGTGTGGCCAGATGGCCTCCGAGATGCAGGGATCTGCACAAGGGGAGCTGTGAGGGTGGCTTCCATGGATGCTACCAGGCAGGGCCCCGCATGGAAGCCTGCAGCTAGATTTCCCCGCCTGTGGGTAACGGAACAGAAAAGAAGTCATGTGAGCCTTCCATCCGTTGGCAGGTGAGGGACAGGAGAAAGAAGCAAGGAGGGCAGGAGGGAAGGGCTTTGTTCCTTTCCTCACAGGGGGCACTGGAGCCCCGGGGTCCTTGCTGATCTCCTTCCCCTCACTTCCCCACAGCCGGCTGTGACCACAAGGTGACATCCACTAGTGGCACCATCACCAGCCCCAACTGGCCTGACAAATATCCCAGCAAGAAGGAGTGCACCTGGGCTATCTCCAGCACCCCCGGCCACCGGGTCAAGCTGGTAAGGCGCCCACACCGCAGCCCGCATGGGCGCCCCTCTTCCTGTGTGCCATCCGGCCGCTGCCTACTTCCTATCGGCTCCAAAGCCCTGGGTGACTCAGAGCGATGCAGACTGCAGGCTGTTGGCCTGGCTGAGCCCGCAGGGCTGTCACCCCTCTGAGGATCCTAGTGAGCCCCCCATCTGGTTTGGACGGAGGCCCTGCCTGCCATTGCCCCCCGCCCCAGGCCCTCCCTCCTTGCTTCCAGCCGTGCCACCAGCAGTGACCACTTCCCTGGGTCTCCAGGAGCTGGGGTCCGGAGGCCTAGATCCGGGGCCACCTGCGGCCTGCCCCAGGCCCTCCCTCCTTGCTTCTAGCCATGCCACCAGCAGTGACCACTTCCCTGGGTCTCCAGGAGCTGGGGTCCAGAGGCCTAGATCTGGGGCCACCTGCTGCCCGCCCCCCCAGCCACATTCTGAGTTTGCTGTTCTCCCTTGTGCCCTCCAGACCTTCGTGGAGATGGACATCGAGTCCCAGCCCGAGTGTGCCTATGACCATCTGGAAGTGTACGACGGGCGTGACGCCAAGGCCCCTGTCCTGGGCCGCTTCTGTGGGAGCAAGAAGCCGGAGCCGGTCCTGGCCACGGGCAGCCGCATGTTCCTGCGCTTCTACTCGGACAATTCCGTCCAGAGGAAGGGCTTCCAGGCATCCCACTCCACAGGTGAGGCCGCCTCCGGCCAAGGCGCTAGGCAGCCAGTGCCCTCATGCTGTCTTGTTCTGCAGGCATCTGCTGGTCCTGGTCCCAAAGGCAGGACCAGGCTCAGGAGGCTCACGGGGAGGGTGACGAAGAGCATGTGAAGGCACAGCTAGACCAAGCCTGTGGCCTGGGTGGAGAGAGACTGTATTCCAAGGGCCGAGCAGGGGAGCAGAGAGGGAGCACTAAAAGAAGAGTGGGGGAGATCCTGATTAGGGGCTGTGAAGTTGGAAAACAGAGGGCAGTGACGACAGTGGGTGGGGGAAGCCAGGGATGGGGAGGAAAGCCCCAGAGTCCGCAGCCGTAGGACGCCTGACCATGCAGCAGCCCACCCACATTCCAACCCCCAAAAGTCACTCGTTCATTCATTCTACAGATATTTATTAACACATAACATGTTTGAGGCAGTGTTGTAAGTGCCCGTCCCAAAAATGAAGCAAACATTTCGGCCCTGGAGGGAATCAGGAATTAGGGAATTAGTGATCCCTTGTCCATTTATTCAGCAACCCTTTGCTGAGCTGTGGCCCCATGTGAGCCTCGGAGGGGCACATGGTGATGAATCAGGCAGGAGCCCTTCCCCCACCCTCAGCCCGGGAACTCCCAGGCCAGAGGTGAGCTGGGCCATGCACAGATAACGAGAACAGGAGGCAAAACATGATAAGCTCTAGCTTTGAATGGGACTTGGTGGGGTCATTCCAGCCGGGGGAGGAGCCCAGGCCCAGCCACAGCCCCAGGATAACTTGGGGTGTATACAAGTGACCGCAGGTCATTTCGTTTGGCCTGAATAACGAGTGTGTGAGGAGAGCCATGAAGTGGAAACAAAGCAGCAGCAGAGATAGGCTGGAGCCCAGGCTGGGAAGGGTGTCAGATGGGGTCTTCACAGGCTCCTTGTGGGCCTTGAGCCCCCTGTTGGGGCATCCCCAGGACTGATGGGTCCACAGCCTCCCCTCCTCCCTTGCAACTCAGTTCCCGCCCCGGGTCCTGTCCCACCCCCTCGCCACCCCTCCAGGGAAGCATAAGCACCGAGTGTCCTAGGGGCCGGAGGGCTTCCCGAGGAGGATGGGCTCCGCTGGCCCTGCCCTGCGTGCTCCCATCTGCCCCTCCCAGCAGAGGGTCACAGACTGGAGGCCCAGAACTCTCTCTGGCCCTCAGACCTGCTCTGTTTGGCCCACACTGTGTTTTTTAAAAATGTGAGCCAACATTTAAAAATCAAGAGTTTTCACAGAAAATCCAGATGTAGTTCTTCTCTCCGAAGAATGGAAGCTCTGGCAACGCAGGGCCCACATTCTTCCAGGGCAGCCGTCAGAAGGAGCAAATTAGCAATGTCCTCTTTTGACAAGCGTGCCCCCCCCCCCCCCCCCCCCCCCCCCCGCCGGTGCCTCTGCTCAGAGCTGCCTAACAGCCCCGTGTGTCCCCGGGCCTCTGCGGGCATCGGTCCAGAGGCGGAGCAGCAGAGCACCTGTCGTGGGCCGCACGTCCTGGGCCAGGTGCACACCCGCCCCCCACTAGCCGCGTGGCCCTCCATCCAGCCGCGAGGGTTGGGCGTGGTGAGGCGCAGCGCCTGGCCCTCTGCCGCGCTCAGGGAGCGCTGGCTCATCTTGTTGTCCTCCCACAGAGTGTGGAGGCCAGGTGCGGGCAGAGGTGAAGACAAAGGATCTTTACTCCCACGCCCAGTTTGGCGACAACAACTACCCCGGGGGCGTGGACTGTGAGTGGGTCATCGTGGCAGAGGAGGGCTATGGCGTGGAGCTGGTGTTCCAGACCTTCGAGGTGGAGGAGGAGGCGGACTGTGGCTACGACTACATGGAGCTCTTCGATGGCTATGACAGCACAGCCCCCAGGCTGGGGCGCTACTGCGGCTCAGGGGTGAGACCCTGCCCCCCCAGTCCAGCGCCCGTGTGGCCTAGGCAGGTGTGGGGTGCCGGTATGGGTGGTAGCCCAGGCCCGGTCCTTTGCAGGAGCCAAGAGAGCCTGCCTGGTGGGTGGCTGCTCATGGAGGCCTGCCCTGCCCCGGGCCATCCCCACCCAGGAAATTCAGTCCTTTTTTGGCCAACACTGTGGTTTCTGCAGCCTCTGGGACAGGCCCTGCCCTGACCCAAGCCTGCTCAGCACTAGTTTGGTCGGACCTACAGGGTGGCCTGCATCTGGGGAGGGGGATGGAATTCCCTCTGCCCCCCGCCCCATCCCTTGTTCCAGTCCCAAGGCAGCTTACCAGGGCCCAGTATCAGGGGCAGAGGCTGGGGCAAAAGCCAGGAACCTGGAGCCGAACTGTGCTAAGCAGTCATTCTGGCTGAGCCATAAAAACACCCTCCTCTCTTCCACTGCCAGTTGCCCTTCTTGGTGGGAGGCCAGTTGGTCCCAAAGCCCTTGGTGCTACTGTCTAAGCAGATGCGGGACACTGCTTCTTGGTCCATAAAAATGGCACTTTCAGAGGCAGTGGGCAAAAGTTTGCTCCATGGGATTTTTAACCGAGGTCACGGGAAAACCACAAAGGTGGATTTATTTTCCTCTCAGTCAGAGCTTGTGGCTTCTTTTGTTTTTGTGAATATTTTCCCCCTTCAGAGAACATTGTCTTCCCCTCTCCATTACACACGAGTGCGCACACACACACACCATTACACACAGGTGCACACACACACACCATTACACACGGGCACATGCACACCACACACACACACCATTACACACGGGCACATGCACACACCACACACACACACACACACACACGCCCTCCCTCTGTCCCCTCCCTGGTCCCTCACCTGTCTCATGGCCATGCTCCAGGGCAGCCTGGGCACCCTAGGAAGGGTTAAACTTCCCAGAGCTGCAGCATCCACTGGACCCACCATTAGTCTACTGAATGTGCCCTTAGGACAGAGCTTCAGCCTCTGTAGGACTGGGACAGGGTGGAGAGGTAGGGAGGTGGGGCAGGAGCGGAGCACACGGGCCCCTCGCCTGCCTGGCTCACCACTCTGGAATCCCCTGGCTGCCAAGCCAGCACCCCCTCTCCACTTTGCACATTGTTAACTCCCTTGATCTGGCACATTCCAGTGAGCCACACATCAAATCCAGTGTCCCCAGGTGGCTTCTTCCAGAGACTTCCACCGGGCTGGAGCGAACGGGAGGGGACCTGGGGAAGGAACCCAATCCCGTCAGGGCTTCCTGGCAAGGTTGCTGGAAATGTCCGCAAGGTTCTCGGAAATGATGCTTTCTATGCCCTGCGAGCCAGGGCATCTGTGTGCTGATGCTCTGCGGGTAGCTCTCACGCGGAGGGCCTGCAGGCAGAGGTGAGGAGGGGCTTGCAGGAGCCTAGGAAAGGGCATCACCTGAAGCTGACCACGGCCAGAACCGGGGGAGGACAGGAGGGGCACGGGCACACCTGTGCCTGGGGGACCCGGCTGTCCTGTCTTCCCCAGAGGACAGCTGGGACAGTGAGAAGGCAGCCTCTCAGAGAACCCACTCCCTTTGTAAAATCCTTGCACAACCATCCTCTCACTTGCCGCCCCCAGCGGCCCTTCTAGGCTTGGAGAGCAGGGAGTATTTCTCCCATTTGCCCCTGAGGGAAGCGAGGCCCAGAGGGGAGCAGTGCCTTGCTAAGACTTCCCAACTAGCTAGTTAATAGCAGTGCTGGGTTTAGAATGAAGTGTGACTCTGAACTTAAGACAAGCTCTTCTATCCCCTGCTTTCTTCCCTCCTCCAGGCACCCCCTTAAACTCCCACTGGCAATAGTCTTCCTCCTGCTTCAAGGGGCTGGGGGAATCTGGTGAATGTCTGGGAGCCGCCCGGCTTCCTTAGAGCAGGGGATCCTGGGGAGGAACAACAGCAGCCTCAGCCTCATGCCCATTCCTTTCCTCTGTCAGCCTCCTGAGGAGGTGTACTCGGCGGGAGATTCTGTCCTGGTGAAATTCCACTCAGATGACACCATCACCAAAAAAGGCTTTCACCTGCGGTACACCAGCACCAAGTTCCAGGACACACTGCACAGCAGAAAATGACCCCTGCCCTCATGGGGGGGGGGGTTGGGGACGGGAGGCCTGCTGCCCTCAGTCACCTGGACTGCACAGTGGGAGGTGGGCAGGAGGTGGGCACCCTGTCCCCCAGGCGCCGGGACCTGCAGGCCGACGGTCCAGGCGAGGCTGTCCTCAGGAGGCAAGGGGAACTGGACTCTTTCACGATCCCTTCCTCCTTGCCCCCACCAGAGCAAGGGGGCCGGGGCCGGGAGCCAGAGCCTTCACTGAGACACTTGAAGTAGCCATTCCTCTCTGGGGGCCTGGCCTGGTGGGGAGAGCGTCTGTCAGCAGACCTGCCCATCTTCCCTGCCCTCTCTACGCGCTGTATTATGTATAGCTGGTGGCATATCTTCATTGTAATGTACATTTCCCACCCCTTCTCCAACCTCGATTTGGTTTTTTTAAGCCCCCACTTCCCCACTTCCTGGGGCCGGAGTTTCCATATGAGTCCCATGGGAGCCACAGTGGGGCGATGCAGGGGAGGGGGTGGGGGAACGAGACAGGGCTTCTCTCAGGCCCAGCGGCTGGTCAGCCACACCAGGGCACCCCAGCCAATAAACAGAAAGTGTTACAGCGAGTATCTTGTGCCAGATGCTGTCTGGGACATGAGGGGGTGTGGGGGGTGGGCATCTCATTCCAGATGTGCAGGCTTGCTGTGTCTGGGACCGGCCCACAGCTGGGACACCGGGCCTCGCTGGCTGCCCTTCCATCCCTCGATTCCAGGACCCCTGAGGGTGTGATTTCACACTCGGGCACACATGAACACAGCCGCCTTGCGCACTTCAGCCTGTAGGCATACAGTGTGCACGCGGTGCTCATAGCCCTCCCACACAACGTGAGGAGTGGAACATTCTGTAAAGAGGCTGTTTGGGGGCGGGGAGGGGGAGGTATGTAAAAGGGGCTAGGCATGTTGTCTGTCCAGCTGGTGTCCACCTGGGTTTTCTGTCTCTGTCCAGAGAAAGGGGTGGGTGGGCTGGAGTGTGTCCCCGGGGAGCCCACCAGAAGCCAGAAAACTGGCATCAGCCTGAACAGATCCATGAACTGGCCCTGAAACTCTGCCTTCCTGAAGGTCAAACACTGAGTGCTGGCCCCCTGCGGGTCCTTCTCTTCCCATGCAGACAAGAGCCAGACACTCAGCAGCCACTGAGCAAACATTCCAGCTCTGGCCCCCTCTCCCAAGGCTGTGTCTCGGCGGGCCTCCTCCTTCCTGCCGTGGCCTTCTCCCTCCCCAGCCAGCAGTGAGGCCCAGACCTGATTCCCAGAGGCCAGGAGGAGAGAAGTCACATCCCTGCTCCCTCCATTCAGACGAGCCTCTCTCTCCCCTTTCTCTTCATGGATCTCAAGGGGCAAGAAAGCAGAGAGAGGACCTGGGTTCTTCGGCCTGGGCTGGCCACTCCCCTATTTCAGAGAGGGCCAGGCATCCTGCTCCCAGCCCTGGGGCTCCCTGAGATCCTTCAGTGGGTCTGTAGGTCTTTTACCGGCCTCAAGCCTCTCCCTATTGCAGAGGCCCGTGTTGGGCCAGATGCTCTCTGGACTGTGGGAGGGGACCTACCCCCAGGCAGCAGCATGGCATGGTGCACCCCAGACGGGCCCTTTAAGCAGAATGCAGTAGTAGAAACCAGACACATTGCTGGCATCCGATGTGCAGGCAGGACCCTTTCCTTCCAGGAAGCCGGCCTGCTCCCACTGTCAGGCTGCGGCTCTCTCGTCCAGTCCTGACGGCAGATGAGCCCGGGAGGTCCTGCAAGGGAGGGGGTGATGGGCTGAAGGGTTACCGCCTATTGTTCCAGTGAGGTCACAGGCTGTGATGTCATAGCCACCGCTCCCTGCCCCCACCTCCTCTGACCTCAGTGCTCCGGACAGCCTGGAGGCCCTGAGCGGGACGGAAAGGCCCCCAGACCGTTGGAGCTGCCTGGGCATCTCACCCGGACACTTGGCCAATCGACCTGGCATCAGCTCCTCCACAGCAGAATTTGTAGTCAGTGCTCACAGCTCTCCCACCAGCCCTCCACGTCCTGAAGCTCAGAGGCCCATACTCCCAGTTCACGAGCCATACGTCCAGAAGGAGCCAGGATCCTAACCCCATCCAGACTTAAGGGTTCCAGCCCACAGAGAGTAGCCGGTCCTCCACTCTGTGAACAGCAATGCCACAGCCAGAGGCAGCTCATGCGGCCACCCCAGGCCCCTGTCCCAAGACTCCATCACCACCATAGACTCAGACCCCTCTAATGACGCAGGGACCGTGCTGGTGCGCCTTCCCTGTCTGCTCTGGGCCCATCTTCAGAGGCTGCCTCTGGGTGGTGGAGGCTGCTCAGGAGCTGGGTGCAGGCCACTGATACATACATATTCCAGAACTTAATCAATGCATGTGCTCTCAGAACCCCACCCACCCTCACCTTCGGGCTGCTTCAGGGTTCTAGATTAGACCAGCTCCAGGGCAGCGCTGCCCAGCAGCTCAGCTGACTCCATGTCAGAGGAAGGTACCCTTGCTCCTACAACTGTCTGCAAGTCCCTGAGGGCCCTCTTGGTCCTGAGGGCATGGCCAGGAATAGAAAAGCCGGGATGGACCTGCCCCTGACTGTGCTCCCAGCTCGAGCGAGATTAGTGCACACCCTGGAGCTTCAGATTCCTGCCTCTGGGAGCACCTTTGTAGCCCGCAGAGGCGGGGACAACAGCATCAGCCTGGCAGTCAGGAGACGTGGCTCTGCCATCCTTTGTCCAGTGGTGCTGGCCAGCTGCCTCCTCCCTGGGCCTCTGCTCCCCAAGCCTCTCCCCTGTCCTCGGCAACCCTTCCTGCCACAGCTGAGGTGGACAAGAAAACCCAGCGTCTAGTCTCCAAGCAGCCAGAGGGCGGGGTTCCTCACCATAAGGGGGGGGCGGATCTTCTAGGGCCAAGTGTGGCTCCACTATAGTAGGAGGAAAGTCACATGCCCTGCACCACCACTTTCCTCCTTCTCTTTACCCCTTTTCCCTTCCCCTTCCCCTCCCCCTCCCCCATCTGCTTCTGTGTCATGAAAAGTTCAAAAGCTTGCATGCAAACATAGCCGGTTTCAAACACAAGCTCTACCATCTGGTGGCTGTGTGCCCCTGGGTGAGTCATTTAACATCTCTGAGCCTCAGTTTCTTCATCTAGACGGGGGAATGACAACACATTCAGGGTTGCAAGGAAGCAATGAGATACCCTTTGAGGAAATCCTGATACAGTGCCTGCAAATAGGAGGCTCTCCATAAATGGGCCTTCTTTTCCTTTCCTTTGCCAGACAGTTTTCCAGTTCCTGGACTACTCTCTTTCTATGCAAAAAGGAAACTTCTGGGTACACTAGTTTCCAGTTGAGCATTATTTGCTGAGGGCAGAAGGATTCCTGCCAGAGAAGGCCATGCTTAGCCCACAGCAAGGCGGGGCTTGTGGGGCAGCAGGAGACATTTCTGGCTAGCTGGTAGCCTTTCTGGGCACCTCCCAAGTCACACCCTGTGCTTGACTGTCCCTATACACAGGGCTGATTCTAGAATCCGTGAAAAGATTTGCTGCTCCAGTTTGCAAAAATAGTAGTGTCTGACTTGGGGAGCGGGGAGAGGGCAGCCAGATGTTTTCTCCGGAGAGCCACGAGGCCCCCCAACTCAGCCTCCTACTGACCAGCCTGCTTCTCCTGCTCCAGCCTCCTCCCAGTCCCACACCCTCCCCTCCCCCATCTCAGGAACATCTGGTTCCAATCTCCTCCAGATGCTGTGGCCAAGCTGTTTTATGGCCAATCACCTCAGCTCAGCTTCCTGAAGGCCTCCCTCCATCTGGGGGAATGGTCCCTCCTCATCCCTTTCCTTGGGACCCCAGCCACCTTCTTTCCTAACATGGAGAAGAGACACATACCAAAACCATACAAAACTGTGAGGGTCCTCAGAGCTGGCTCCTCCCCACCCACTACTCTGGGGAGACTGTCATCCATCCAAGATGAAAAGAAAGATGCTGGCCCAGTAGGGAAGGAATGGGCAGAGCAGAGAGACAGAGACAGACAGTTGGGGGCTTGAGGGCACGTAGCCACGTGTATGTGTTGGGTGTGTCTGTGTATTGGTGCCCACACGGCAGAACACCCCGCTTGTAACCTGGAGGCACCCCTTGGTGGCCACTGCCTCATTTTTTCTCCCTGACTGCATTGGAGCAGGGCTAACTCGGGGCCCCTCAGCTGGATGGTGGCAGCTACAGTCCAGGGTTGTCCCTCACTTTGTGGCTCTCTGTGGCAGCCATGTGTGTCTTCTAAATCCAGTCTAGGGAGGTGGGGTGTGTGTGTGTGTGTGTGTGTGTGTGTGTGTGTGTGCGCGCGCGCGCACTTGCACATAGACCTCTCTCCCTCCACCAGGTCAGATTAGAGGGACAGGGGCCAGAAAGGACCTCAGGGCAGATTCCAGCCAGTGCCCTGACCCAGCTCTGACAAGCGCCTCCAGCAACCGGAGAGCAGAGCAGAGCGGCCATCTGGAGAGAGCAATGAGAAGCAGGCTCTCTGGGGAAACCTGCGTGTGGCCCCTCCCCAACCTCCCCTCAGTACGCTGCCTTCATCCCCCACTAAAGAGGACACTGGGAGCCAATCTTTCCCTAAGAAACTCAGAGGGTTCACAAAAGGAAGACTGAAGCCTGCACCTCTGAAGGATTCTGAAAACCCCTCTGGCGTGGGGTGGGGGTCTCCTGACCAGAGGAGGGAAGGATGGGCCCTGAAGATCATTCCCCGTCTGTGGAATTCTGGACACCCAGTGCTGCCCACTACTCCTTTAAAAGAAGGCTCCTTGGCATTTGTGACTCCACAGCCCCCCCTGGTGTTATTCAGGATCAAGGTGCAGCCTTGGTCAGCCAGGAGAGATGTAGAGGGGAGACCCTTGAGAGGGCCAAGTGCTGAGACCAGCCTTCCCATGTCTTACCGCTCGGGCGGCTCCTGGCAGACACTAGGGGAGACAGGACAGTGGAATGGGAAGATTCCAGCTTCTGAATCCAATCCAGGCACTGTTGCCTACCAGCTGTAAGACATGTGCAAGCCTTTTATTTAACTTTTTTGTGCCTCAATTTCTTCATCTGTTAAATAGGAATACTATGGCGGAGGGCCATTGTGAAGACTACATAAGCTGATGTGTGTGAAAGCACCTGGCCAAATGCCTGGCCCATAGTAGGCCCTCAGGAAGCGGTCGTTTGCCCTTCAGCTTTCCCCTAGCCCAAGGAGGCTGTGCCCCAAGCTCTGGATGACACATGTTCATTTGGTCCTGAGCCAGGCAGTGTCAGTGAGGTGACTCTAATTTTTCTGGAACTTTTCTACTCCAGCAGATCATTTTAATAAGTCCATAATAATAGACGCAGAGGTGACTCAGATCTGCAAATGAGGAGCCCTGCTGGGGAGGGGAGAGTTGGGCTCTGGGCAAGGGAAATTTAGGAGTATCTGGGTCTGACGCAGTGGCAGGCTGTCGCATTGGGAAGGGCTCCAAACAGCGGACCTTGCTAAGGTCTTCAGATTGCCACAGGTTCCCCTCTCATAAGGCCTCAGTTTCCCCTTCCGCAAAGTGCAGGGTAGCACCAAAAGACCTCCAAAGTCCCTTCTAAGCTAGAGATACGGCTCCACTTTCTGAGCCCTGCCTCCCACAGCAAGATTTGGAGCACCCTTGGAGACAGTTCCAGATGTCTTGTCCTGGGGGACATCCCCAGTTGAGTTCCTCTGTCATTGTACAACTTGCCTACCCCCACCCCTCCCAGAGCTCAAAGAGAGTCGGGGCTCTCAGGCCATGGTGGTTTATTGATGCACGTCGCAAGCACAACACAGGCGGGTGTGCCCCCAGCTCAGGGCAGACACAGGGCCGGGGGAGAGCAGTGGGCCACCCCCCAGAGCAACGCAGTCAGCAGAGGGGGAAGAGGCCTGGGGGCCCATGTCCTCTCCTCCATGCTTCTCCCAGGGCCCCCAGACCTGCTCCGTGCCACAGAGACAGCTGACCACACCACTCCCTGTGGCTACACAAGAGGCGACCAGCTGTCCCACCTGCGCCCTTACTGAGATATGGCCTTGTTGGCCTTCTGGCCCCTTCTGTACTTCATCACGGGGATCTGGCTGTCACTGTGGGGGCTGCTGTCCTCTGCCTGACATCGCCTCCACCATCCCCTGAACAGCTAGCTGCCTCCATCCACACCTCCACCTGCCCCCCGACCTGGGGGTCCACCGTCACCACCCTCATGACCCGTACCAAAGTAAGAAATAGGCGAAAACGCTGGGAGGCTCAGGAAGCCGTCTCCAAGAACTCCCCAGGGAAGGGGTTCTCCGCCAACCGGCTGGCGGTGGGGAGCAGACGGTGCCGGTGGGCGGAGCGTGAGGTGCGGTGGCAGGGAAGCCACAGTCCAGATCACACGCAGACACGGTGCAGTCACGGCCCCGTGGCAGAGAGAGCGAGCAAAGCGCACAGTCAGGCAGGGTGCTGGGGCTCTTCGGAAAGCCCTCGATTCTAGTTCCACACTGGGTCCCCTCGGGGCAGGAGGCGGCCCCCTTCGGGCTAAGAAGGGTTACCTCTGGGTCTCAGGGGTCTCTGTCCCCCTCCTCGACCCCAGTGGCTGCCACTGCAGACCTCGGTGCTCTGAGCAACGGAGAAGGTACGCTGGGGTACACATCATCTCCAGAGGAGAAAGGAAAAGTCCCAACAGCCCGGAGCCCCCAAAGCCAGGAGGAAAAAGAGGGCCCCTTTCTAGAGGGCAGGTGGAGAAGGGGAGGGACAGCTCTCCCCATGCAGGAAGAGGGTGCTGGGGGGTCAGAGCGGTGCAGGAGACTATGTATAAAGGGAAAGGGCCAGGCCTGGAGTCGGAAGCCCCCGCCCCGGGCCGGCACAGAGGGGAGGGGTATTCTGTGGTTGGCCCTGAGTGGGGTGGGCGGGGCTGGAGAGGAGCACCCGCGGCTCTCTGCAGCGCCTCTGGGGGCGGGCAAGGAACACGTGGGCTCTGGCCCGGGGAGGCTGCTCAGCGACAGCCCCCAGGCTGTAAGTTTCCATGAGGTGGAGGCTGGGATGAAGCAAGAAACAGCAGGACAGGGAAACCAGGAATGGGGAAATCTCCAGAAATCTACCCTCCTTCCACCAACCTACGGAGGCTAAGAAGCGTTACCAAGTCCACCAGGGGTGAATAGGCCACGCCTACCAAGGGGACACCCTCTGTTGCCTCTAATGCCACTGGGTGGGAAAGGGGAAGGCTGTGGCGTGGAGGGAGCTGGGGGGGGGGGCAGGGGAGAGAAAGCCAGCTCCCTGAACCTATGCCACCCATTGCCACCCTGCCTGTCATCTCTCCCTAGCCCCCCAGTTCCCCAGGAGTCCCTAGCGGCCCACACTGATGTTGCAGGTCTTGCAGCTGGGGTCTTTCTTGGCGTCAGCAGTGGATAGGCTCATAAGCTGGTGCCCGCTGATCTCCCCCAGGGTGCCCAGGGACAGGTCAACGGGCTCGGTATAGATGATCTCCAGGATGAGGTCCTGGGCATGGCGGAAGATCAGCTCCCCATCCTCCACGCTGCAGGTCAGGAACTTGTTGCAGGCAATGTCCAGGAGGGGCAGGCGGTCACGGCAGAAGCGGTCCCCCAGGGAGCCCTTAGGGGCCAGCACCAGGATGGCATAGTGGTAAGCTGTGTACATACAGTAGAAGTCCGCAAAGTAGAGGTTGGTGCTGGGGTTGAAAAGGCGCTGGGCAGGGATCTGGAAGCGCCAGCGACCGTAGGGGGAGTCCTGAGGAGGCTGGCCAGTGTTGAACTCTGTGTTGCAGCTGAAGAAGACCCCGTGGAGCATGCCGCTGGTTGGGGAGCCATGGCTGCCGCTGTTGTCCTTCAGGTAGGGCTGCAGCATGTTCCCGCAGTGGGTCCTACCCACCCCGGGGGAAAAATGCCAAAGGGAAGAGAAAATGCCGCTGGTTAGCTGGGCTGAGGCTTGGCTGCTGTGTGGGGTTGAGAAGGAAGCCAGCCGAGCTCCCAGCTCTCCCACCAGCTGCTGCCTCCATCGGTCGCAAATAGAACATTCCAGAACGTGAGAGCAGGGAGAGCCCTGGAGATGGACTGATGCAAGCCACTCCTTCACAGAGGAGAGGTCTGAACCTTCCACTCCCCATCTTAAAACCCTTTGATGGAGCTTTCATGAAAAGCAAGGCCATCAAGGTCTGGTCTTTCTGACCCCACCTCCCACCACCCCTACACCCACAAGTAACATTCTCCAGCCACACATGAACCCCCAACTTTCCTGCCTCTGTGCCTTTGCAGGGCTCTTCCCTCTGCCTGGACTGCCTTTCCCTGGACCTCTCTTCACCTGGCCCACCAAACTCCTAATCATCCTTCCAGGCCCGGCACAGGTGTCCCCTCCTCTCCAAAATCTTCGGGGAACATCAGGCACATTTGTATTCAACAAAACTTTGCCTGCTACGTGCAGGTACTGAATTTTACTCAACAATCACACGTACTTCTTACATTCCATCTGTCTGAACTGTCCCTCTGATAGACTCTGAGGTTTTCAAGAGGGGGGACTCTACCCTTTATTCATCTTTACATCCTGGCACATATGGGTGCTTTCTCTCTCTTGCGTGCTTGCTGAGAGAGGAGCTGGAACTGGGCCAGTGTGCTCACCACTCACCTGGCTGCCTCTCTTCTTTAGTACAAGAACCAAAGAGCCCACTAGCTCCCTGCCATGCTGGAGTAGGGTGGGAGCACCGCACCCCCAGTTGAATGCAATGACAAAGACAGTAAGACTAGCAGGTTGCCCTAGCCCAGCCTTAGAAGGACATGGACTTGGGGCGGTGTCAGCAGGCCTGGGGAGGGTGGGCAGCCCCCGACCCGGCTTCACCCTTGCCAGGTCCTGGATGTCCCAGGTGACTAGTGACCTACTGGCTCTCTGCGCCTCAGGCTCCCCATCTCTAGGCTGAGAGGGTTAGAACAGATCATCAATTGGATCAAATATTTTTGGACTACAGAGCCCCTCTCTTTCTTCCCCAAAAGATATTATACATCGGCAGTCAATAAGCAGTGCAACTGAAGCTGCTCCAGTTGACCGATAGATGTGGGGCCCACCGAGCCTCACCCTAATTTCCTCAACAACCCCTTAATACCCCCCTAAAATGCCCTGTGACACCTCCCTGGAGCCTCCAGCCTCCACAGCACACAGTTTGAAAACTAGGACCCTTCAGACACAGAATCCTCTCACCCTGTGCTCCCCTTACCATCTCCCTCTGGGACCCAGGGCCTGAACTGGAGAGACGGCTGACTCTTGGCATTAGAAGCCAGTGAAAGGAACTGTCCCAAAGGAGGAGCAAACCCAAGATCTTGTTCACCCAGGCCAGTTCACATGGTTCCCCCAAGCATCCCCATCCCGAGAGCCCTCTCCTTCCCTGGAGCCCAATCCCCAGCAGTGAGCCATCCCCCCAGAGCCGGCCTGTGATACTCCGTAGGAGGGTCTGGCAAAGACAAGGTGGGCGTGATGTCAGACAGCCACGGCTGTCTGGGCAAAGCAGAGTCAGGGGCGGAAGGCGAGACCCAGGCCCCTGCCAGGGGCCACGCCGTACCTGGCGTGCTGGAAGTACTCCTTGTGGTGGTTGCGGTAGAAGACGGAGAAGCGGAGCATACGGCCTGCGATCTGCTCGGCCTTCTCCTGCAGCTGGGCCAGGTGCTCCTTGGCATAATCTGCAAGAGTCCCGGCTGGTTAAGCCCAAGGCCAGGCTGGGTATCACAGCCTCATGCCCCCACACTCACCCACTGCACACAGAGTATGTCAGCCCACCTCCGTCCTCAGAGCAACAGGGGACACCAAACAGTCACAGCACCTTGGACCACATAGGAGCAAGCCAGGTGGCCCAGCTGGGAACATGGACAGCTGGATGCTGTTTGTCTTCATCACCCCTGCACTCTCATTGCCAGAGGCTCAGCTCTCTGAGTCAGAAAGGGATAGGGGCTGCCCAGTTAGACAGTCATGCCGGGGGCCCCAGGAGCTGTGATCCCTGGTTATCCTCATGTGAAGAAGACCAGCAAGCAAAACAAGGATTGAGAGGGGAGAATTTGAGGTCCCCTAGGGGGAGCCCCCCAAATCCAGCAGGTAGAAGGCCGTCCATACCACCCACACGGAAGCCAGTTGTCATTATAGGTAGGGGCTCACAAGGAGCCTCCTGATCACTGATATGAGTGGGTAGCCGGAGCAGGGTCAGAGGCAGTGACTGCTTCGGCACCCTGAGAGAAGCAGGGAAGGCTGGAGACAGGATGGTAGACCGGACACCTCCCAGGGCCAGGACCAGCCTCTGGGGCCCGGAGGCTCAGGCAAGGGCTGCTGCCAGCAAAGACAGGGCCTTTGTACAAATTAGAAAAAGGTGCCCTTTCCTCCTTGCTGATGCAGCCCTGGCCAGGGTGCTGGGTTTGGCAAGAGTAGTGGGGACTGGACTGCAGCCATCCGCAGCTCCCCAGTTTGAATTAAACTCCCACTAGGTGTGGAGTTCTGGGGTAAACCAAGAGGCTTTCCCCGCAAGGAGTGGGAGCACCTCCAGAGTGGGGTTTTGCAGCCGAGCTAAGAAAAAGCACTGCTCGGGAAAGAATGGCAACTCAAGGAGACTTAGGGCATGGGCCTTGGCAGAGGATGGAGCCAGCAGCCTCAGAGGCCCGGGGCTAGGAATGTTCCCTGCCCCTTCCCTGTGACAGAGAGAGATCTGGAGCAGTTCCCCCTGTGGACACCTAAAGAGTGGACTATTTGTGGGGCAGATCCTGGGTCATCCATTACCAGGTACACGTAAGCCTGGTGCTTGTTCATACTGGAATTTGCCAACTTAATTCTGCTAAGAGGGTTTGCAGGACCCCTAAGTAGGGGTCAGGTTCCCAGGCTAAGTGGAGGCTCAAGATGAGCAAATGGGATTATTATTAATATTACTTACTGACTGTCCTTTAACCGATGATGGATAAACAAAGTGTGGTCTATACATACAATGGGATATTATCGAGCCTTAAAAAGGAAGGACAGGGCGCCTGGGTGGCTCAGTCGGTTAAGCGACTGCCTTCAGCTCAGGTCATGATCCTGGAGTCCTGGGATCGAGTCCCGCATCAGGCTCCCTGTTCGGCAGGGAGTCTGCTTCTCCCTCTGACCCTCCCCCCTCTCATGTGCTTTCTATCTCTCTCAAATAAATAAATAAAATCTTTAAAAAAAAAAAAAAAGGAAGGACATTCTGACACATGCTCAGCATGGATGAACCTTGAGGACATGATGCCGAGTGAAATAACGGAACTAATGTTCCAGTCACAGAAGGACAAATGCTGCGTGATTCCCCTCGCAGGAGCTACCGAGAGGAGTCAAAGTTACAGAGACACAAAGTGAAATGGTGGTTGCCAGGGGCTGAAGTGAGGAGGAGAGCTGTTGTGTAGTGAGTGTAGAGTTTCAGTTTGGGAAGATGACAAAGTTCTGGAGATTGGTTGCACAACCACTGTGAACGTACTTAATACTACTGACCCATACGCTTAACTGGTTAAAATGGGAAACTGTGTTATGGGTATTTTACCACGATTCAAAAACAGCATGCTTGCCCCGAGCCCGAAAAGGAAGTGCATCCCTGTTCGGAAGCGGTATTGGCAGCCCAACTAGCAGTGATGACGTCTGCCCCCCCCCCTCCCGCCGTGTCAGACTGCGGGCTTGGCGGGGGCGGGGGCGGGTCTCATTGGGGTGCCTCCCTGATGGCTGAAGCATGGTGCCCACGTTCAGCAGGTGCTCATAAGCGTCTGCTGGATTAAGACGCATCCCCCTCCCGACCCTAACTAAGACCGATGTGTCAAAGCAGCAAGAGAGCACGGCCTCACCCCCGGTGCAGAACTCAACCGTCTCGCTCCAGCCGGACACCAGGTACTCCCCGTCACTCTGCTTCACGGCCGTCTGCACGGCCACGCTGTACTCTGTGCGGGGGCTCAGGAACCAGTGGCCTCTTACTGTCATGGGCAGTGGCACGGCCTTGGCCACAAGCTTGGTGGGGACATCCTGAGAAATGGGATGCAGAGAGCCAAGAGTCAAACTGGGGGTCGCACCCAATCTTGGCATTCCGCCAGACCTCACGCTCCCCAGATGGCCCCTAGGCTGCCCAAGGAGGGCCAAAATCTCAGAGATTCAATGGCTCGGCGCCCTGGCCACCATTTTCCTGCAGAAGCAAGCAGTGGCCGTTGGGAAGGCCATACAGATACCCCCCAGCCTCCACCCCTCCGTAACGCCCCCTGATGCCCGTTCTCTTGGGAATTAAGGAGAAAGGCCACGGGGGTGGAGGCCGAAAAGTTGAGGGCGGCGAGACCTCCGTTTTTGAGGGAGACTTCGAGAGCTCTGCACACTGCAGTGCCGTCTCCACGGCAACGGCAAATGCCGAGAGCCAGGGAGGAAGGGAAAATATGCCTTATTCTTTGGGGGGGGAGGGTTAAGGGGGTGGTGTTGAACATTCACGTCACCGTGGCAACTGGCCTGCCAAAAGACACCCAGATCGGGAGAACCAGTTCCAAAGAGAGAGAGGGTGAGCAACCCACATGATGCAGTCGTCGTGGGAACCAGCTCCTTCCCACCTCACTCTTCCCCCTTCCTCTCTGCCAGCTTGAGGAGATGGGAGCCTTCTTCCCACCCACCCCCTCCCCGGCTTTAACCCAGGGAAAGGACACCCCAGCCAGCAGAGGACTCTCCCATGCTGCTTTCCTAAACCCAGCCACCTGTAGGCCAGAGAGCCAGGGGCAGAGAGGATCGCGGCGGCCCAAGAGGGGTCAGTGAGGACCAAGCAAAGGGCCCCAGCCCTCCCATGGCCCACGTTGCCCACACAGTCAACAACAAAGCTGCTTCCTGAGTCAGGGGCTTTGTCATACCCTGAGACGCCAGCCCCCGGTGTGATGTCTGTGGCCCCCCTCAGGTTTTCCCTCCCCGTCTGAAGCCCCAGTCATGATGCCAATAATGGCGTTCACGGGGGCTGGGCCCCAAGCCAGACACCACGCAAACATTACCTCACTGAAGCCTCTCACAAGCCTGCGGGGGCTGGCATTATTATACCCTTTTTACCTAACTTGGGCTCAGTGAGGCTGAATAACTTTCCTAAGATTACACTGGGAGAAGAGCCTGGGTTTGAACCAGGCCTGTCAGACTCCCAACCATCACCCACCGGCAAGCGCTCCATTACCCTGCCTCCTTCAAGGAAGAGTGTGAGCAACGGGCCCTCTGCGCACCCTCCACTCACCCGGTGCTTGAACTTGTTGGAGTTCTTGTTCTCCTTCTTGTTAAGGTCAATGAAGTAATGGGTGACCCTCTCCAGGTCACTGTTCTCCATGGCCCAGGAGATGCGGAAGGAGTCACAGGTGATGTTGTTGACCTCGATGCTGTGGGGCGTGGACAGCAGCTCCATGCTCCCCTCTGGCTTGGCTCCTGTGGGGACTGAGGGGAGAGGAAGCAGTAGCCCCTTCCTCCCCACCAGAGTTTTCTGGAATGTCTTGCTCCCAACATCCCTTGCAAATTGGAACCTTGGGAATCCACTGACCGCACCTGCCTCATCAAATCAGATGGGAAGAGTGCATGGGAAGATGGAGGGGCAGGACCAAGGGTGGGATGGGGTATCCCCCCTCGGGGGGCTCTTGGCTCTCCTCAGAGGGGTCTGCAGAACAGACGGCACCTGACAGGTGGCAGAGGCAGTGGGAATGCTGCAAACGCCGGGCAGGACAGATTCGCAGCAGATGGAGCCGAGGAGGGGGGCCCTCAGCCAGCAGGCGTGAAAAGAGGAAGGGGTGGGGGTGGAGAGAACTGTATGAGGCGGGGTAGGAGAGATAGGAAGCACCCACTGAGGAGACCCGTGTGAGGGTTGAGGCGGGCAGAGGGCCCTGGCAGCCAAGAGGCCAAGGGTGCCGGGTCGCTCAGGCTCAGGCCTCCCTCCTCCCTCGGGGTGACTCAGGGAGGGTCACCAAGACCAAGGCTGGGAGTCCAAGCGCCACAGAGATGCACGTGGATACGCCAGTGGTGGGAGGGGGCAGTATGGGCCACAGCTCTTCTTCCACCCCTAACTTTGCAACTATCACTCTTTCCTTTCAGCTGATCCTCTGTTTCTTGACTCGTTTGAATAATTCATTTTGCCTTTGACATCTACGACAGGCCGATATGTGGCCATAATCGCCCAAGCATCATCCCATGCAAGCCTCGCCATAGGTAGGTACTTTTATTATCCCCATTTTACAGATGAGTTCACTGAGGTTGGGGCGATACCGAGATGTCAGAGGTCATGCAGCTATAAAGTGATTTGAACTCACATCTGACTCCAGAGCCCAAACTCCTTTTTTTTTTTAAGATCTTTTTTATTTATTTGACACAGAGAGACACAGCGAGAGAGGGACCACAAGCAGGGGGAGTGTGAGAGGGAGAAGCAGGCTTCCCGCCGAGCAGGGAGCCCGATGCGGGGCTCGATCCCAGGACCCTGGGATCGTGACCTAAGCCGAAGGCAGACACTTAACCACTGAGCCACCCAGGCGCCCCCAGAGCCCAAACTCTTTATCATTAAGCAAAGGCTGTATCCGCACACGCGAGTGTGTGTGATACGTGTGTGACATGTGTATATGCGTAGGTGCGCGTGGTTTTACTGTTATTTATTTTACTTCCTTCTATCCTTCCCTTTCCAGGAGCTACATTTTCTCTCACCTTCCTCTTTTCTCACCCCTTCGCGTCCACCCGGGCTGCTTTTCCAAGTATGAAAGGACCACACCCCTGGCAGTCACCTGTGCTTTAGCTAGGAGGAGCCGACCCTGGCCTTGATTGTGGCCTGGCTCTGGGGAACAGGGTGGGAAGAGAGAGGGGGTGGGAGAGGGCGGGACTGTCTCTGGGACAAGAACACGAACGTGGGTTGGACTTGCTCCCGGGCGTTTGCTTAGTGCCCAGGGGAGCTCGCGGTTTCCCGGTTCCTTCTCAAGCCCCGTCCCAGCACACCTCAGCTTTCTGGAATGCTGTTTCCTTTTCTCCCCTTTCTGCTTCTGCTCCTCTCTTTGCCCAGGCGCTAAGGGTGAGGGTACCTTGTGCCTTCGAAAGCAGGTACTTCTATTTATAGCTTCCAGAAGATCCAACCCACACTTGCCTGTCAGTTAAGCCTGTTGTGGAGCCTGGTATCTCTAAATTCATCCGTGGGCTGCCTGAGTGGCAGGCACAGGGAGAAGGATATGGGTGATGGCCTTTACCTGTTCCAGGGTGCTCCCTGAGCCCGTGTTTCATTTTGGCTTCCTACCCTAAATTATGAGCCTGCCTGTCGTGAAATTTAGCCAAATGTCCGTGGCTTGTGCGCAGGGAATCCTATGGTAAACAAGCATGGGGGTGCTACCAGGTCCATCCCAAAATAAAGCAAAATAGGATTGGGAAACAACTGTATGGTAATAAACCAGTTTATAATTCATGGGGACAGATGTGGAGACTGGGGGAGTTGCCATCCTCTGGGGTCCCAGTGAGGAGCTCCCCAGGGAGATATACACATGCACCCACATGCACACACACACGCACCAACACAACACACCAACACAGACACACTCCCACCCCAGAGAGGGCCTGAGTGACCACCTCCCACCCACAGCAGATTCAATCTATGCCTACCCCACAGGTGGGCACCTATTACTGCCTCAGTACTCCTCTCCTCAGACTCTCCCCAGAGACAGGGGCAGCCATGTTGGGGGGGCTCCCTAGGACCTGGCTCATCCTTTCCTTTCTACAGTTCTAGAAGAGCTAAGATGACTCCCCCATGCTAGCTTGGGAGAGTGGCCGTGAGTGACACTTGGGAGAAGAGCAATGCCAGGGTGGACCAAGGGTGGGTGTGAGCCCCAGTTCTCCAAGTCCATGACTGGGGAAGGTCAGGGTGTGAGGGACAGGTTGAGACAGCACCTGAGAAACACCCGCACTGCCAAGACAAGCACTTACACACCCACACACAGGCAGGAACATGAGTGCACACGCATACGCACACATACACACATGCACCAAATGTGCCCACCCACACCCGCCACACAAGGGCTGCACGCATCTCCTCAGACATTCTCGGTCTCGCGCACTCACCTGCGCACTCAGGTGCCTCCACCCCCTTCCACATTCTAAGAATGTCCCACAGTTTTCCCGCTACAAGCTGTCACCTCCACACAGACCCACACATGTTGGAGTCCAGAGGCTCACGCACACACATATGCACGCACACCTTCTCGCAAAGCCATATTTGGGGAAGAAAAGAAAGCCACGGGCACCAACATGCACGTGTGCTACCTCCACAGAAGGCATGCGACCCATATGCCGGCTTGCACACGCATGTACACTCACACACACGTCAACTCAACCCCTGCCCAGATTCTGGTATTATCTCTCAAATCTTCTCCAGGCTCGAAGACCCAGACTTTGAAAACATGGTTTGTCCCTAGCCACCCTCTGCCAGCCCTGATCCTCCACATGCCGACAGGTCTGCTCACCTACATGGGTCTGCGCACAGACAGTGGCTTCTGCCCACACTCTCCACCTACCTACCCCTTTCTGCTCTGGAGTTGCCCCTCCCGACATAGAAATCCTTTGGTTACATGCACTCCCTCCCTCAACATGTACTCCCACACCCGTGACAAGTGATATGTCCACCCCATAAATATACTGCCTCACACTGCCCCCACCCACATAACCCAGAGGGTACTCAGATAAGTGATCCCCCCACACACGTAGCTCACGTGTACAAGAAACATATGTCCCTAAACATGCCACCCAGCAGTGGAAACCCACACAAGAGCCTAAGTGTGTGCATACAGAACTGTCTACGCAAGCAAACCTCCAGGGTCCTCGCAAGCATGCATACATGCCGTACACACCGATACCCCTTGCCCATGCCCCTCCAGAAAAGCCACCCACAAGCCGGGGGGGAATCTTCCCCCACCCCACTCTCCCTGTTGGCATCGCTGACTGCAGCAGAATGGTCACGGGGTGACTAACTGTGGTGCCCCTGGGGACGGGACCCAGCTGTTAATCCCTTTGCCAAGGCCCTGGGGGACAGGGGACAAGGTCGTTGGCCCTGGCAATCCAGGTGGGCACCGTGGGCAGTGGCAGGCCCCTGGTGCCCCCAGCTCCTAGCCCCTTGCCCCCTCAGTCCCTCTCAGAATTGACAGCGGGATGCTCTGGGGAGGAAGGGCACTCACCTGGCTCCACGGGGCTCTGCAGAGGAAGACCTGGAAGGGAGGGAAGGGAGAGCCCTCTGTGTGGACGTGCTCTTCCCAGGGAGAGGGGCAGCAGCGACACTGGGGTCACAGGCAGCGGCGCTCGCTCGCTCCTCCCGCTCCTCTCGAGGCTGCCAAAGAGGCTTCTTCCATGCCCCGCAGGCAGCTCCTGCCTGGCTCTGCAGCACACGGCTACTGCCCCCAGAGAGGCGATCTTCCCAGCTGAGCGCAAGGAGAGGCAAGAGCGAAATCACAGCAGCGTGGAGGAGAGCGAGAGGCAGAGAAGGCGAGAAAGAACGGGAGAGCCAGACCGAATCTGGCTCCACCAATGGGATCAGAGGCTGCCCAGCGTCAGGTGACAATAAGCAAGCTTGGTCCCTGCTCGCCTGGGCTGGTGGGAGGGGAAAGGGCAGAGGGTCTCCCAGGAAGCTCCGCTGATGTCCTCAGAGACAGCGGCGGTGGCTGCCACTCCCCCCCCCCACCCCCCGTTCTTCCAGGACAAGCTGCCCTCAGAAGTCCCTCCAACACACCTCAACTTGGAAATCTCTCACTTGAATGCAGCCCCCGAACTTTAGGATGCTGGGAGAGGGGTGGGGCTGAGCCCAGAGGCTTGGGAGCCCCCAAACAAGGATTCTGACTGGGGGAAGGGAAGGGGAGCTGTGACGGGAAAGAGGTACGGGGGTGGGGGTCCGTCTTCAGTCCGGATTCTCTCCGCGGGGACTTTGGCCGATCCATGGCTCCATTTTCTTACCAACTCTATCAAAAGATATTAGACCCGCAGACGATCCCCGATCATCTAGGGAGAGTCCTCTGACTGCTCGGGTGTCCCCAGGGAAAGGAATGAGAGAGAGAGAGAGAGAGAGAGAGAAGTTGTGGGGCAGCGAAGGGTGTGCAGAGGCAAGAAAGTGGGGGTGGGAAGAACACACAGGGAGCTTGGAGTGTTCTCATCCCAACCAACCATCTGGGCTATGGAGAATACTATCTGCTCTCTTATTGACAGGAGGCTTTTCTACCACCAGATGAAAACCTCAGACGCCACTGTGAAGAGCACTCAAGGAAATCTGAATCAAACAACCAACAGCGACAAAGAGTATGCACAGTTTGGAAAAGCATGGGCTTTATAGTCAGACAGATGTGGTTAAAATTCCAGTTCTATCACTTTCTAGCTGGGTGATCTTGGACAAGTTACTCAACCTTTCAGAGC